TGGCTTTTACATGTTTGACAAATATGTTAATCACAGCTTTACAGCTTTTTGTATTGTACACAGAGAAGACTGATTAATGTCTGATAAATTACTGACCTGTCTTGGAAAGAGTCAGTCGAGGTATTGCAGTCATGGACTGCAAAATTAGTCTGCATGCATCAAACTTAGTATCAGAGCCACGTTTATTTACGGTCACATGGTTTGGCTCCAATAAACTAAAAGATTCCTAAAATCTTTGATATCTGTGGCCAAAACATCCAGTTGAGTCAGTCATTGTTTCCTAATGCAGATAGATATGAAAAAAAAGCTAATAAACTGCTAAATCATCACAGCTGATGGTTTTGAGATTGAATTTCTCATATCCGTTCACAAGAGATTAGTAAGAACTCTAAATCATTTCTGTGACTAGATATCTTTGTTGTGCCTTTCAGACCTTGATTTCTTCATCCAAAAGTCTCTTCATCTCTTCAATTTTGTGACCGGCTGCAGTCTTCCCTCTGTTCACCTGGAACAGAATGGACTCTTTTTCTTCCAGCAGACGGGTAAGTTCACCTGTCCAGGACAAAAAGAATAAAAACTCACGTATCTGAGCATCTAAAATGTTCTTTTTATCTTTTTTTAATTAAAAACCTACCATTTTCTGTCTGCAGTCGAGCACTCAGGGTAGTGTAATCACTCAGAGACCTCTGGGCTTCATCTGCTTTGGTCTTGTATTCATTCATTTGATCTTCAAGGCTCCTGCACTGTTTCTCCACGTTAGCCTGAAACATAGAGCTCTGGTTATAATAGAAGATTTTAGAGAAAAGTCCCCTCTGCAGACAGATGTTCACCTTGCTTTTCAGAACAGTCTCCATACTCCTTGCCATGTCATCGATTTCCATCTTCATCTCGCTCTTTTCTTTCTCCAGTTTCTGCTTGACCCTTTGAAGGTTTTCTATCTGATCGCCGAGCTCCACAACGCCGTCCGCCTGCTTCTTGCGTAGAGCAACAGCGATGGATTCATGCTGCAGGGTGGACTCTTCCAGTTCGTGGCGCAGTCTCTGAATCTCAGCCTCGCGCTTCTTGTTGAGCTCGGTCTGAGCGGCGGAGGCTCCTCCGGCCTCTTCCAGCCTCTCGGTGATCTCCTCCAGCTCTCTGGACAGGTCGGACCTCTGCTTCTCCACTTTGGCCCGAGCTGCACGCTCAGCTTCGATTTCCTCTTCCAGTTCTTCGGTGCGAGCCTACAATTTGAACACATGAAACTGGTATCATAACGCTGACCATCAAGCGCTCGATACTTTGAGACTGCTACAATTACATAAACACCTGAAGCTCTTTAATCTTCTTTTGAAGCTGAGTGCTAAGAGCTTGTTCGTCGTCAATTTTGCTCTGCAGGCTGCTGATTTCAAAGTCCTTCCTGAGAAGAGAATGATTTCAGGTTCAGATAATATTTAACTCCATTTATAAGATCAAAGTTTCACTGTATATAAAAGATGGAGCCATCATTCCCAGGTTGTTTTTTCAGTGCGGGATGGTGCTGAATATTAATGTAATTTAATGAAAATTTAAAGAGTAATTCTATTTTTAATTATTATTTTAT